CACTTCCAGTTTCTGCGGGGAAGGCCGCGGCGGTACATCATCTTCCGATCGGGATTTACCTGCACAATCCATGTCGCCTCACACGACCCGTTTAGAATGAACATGATATCGCATATCCATGCGTGACATGTGTGGTAAAATGGCACACATTTGACTGAGCGAAAGCTCAAAATAGAAAACTCATGTATGTCTTCTGGATGGTCACCCATCATCAATCGGGGCGTGCGGAAAAATGACCTCACGGTGACCCACAAACGGTGCAAGATGAAGTCATTTGCGCTTATTTCTATGATAACCCTCTAAGCTCGTTGTCAAGCTTAAGGGAGTATCGTAATTGGGTTGTATAATTCTACAAAATAAAATGAAGAGTGCTGTGCAGTGTTTTATGACCCGTGAGCGTGGTTGTCAAATTCCACCCGGCCATCAATGAGAGGGTCAACAGCCCCATGTTCTTCCTCATTGATCACACGGATTCAAATTCAACTACCGCTTTAATTCCACGTCCACCACTGCAGTATTCTATTCCCTCGATTTTGATCATTATTGTTGTAATTTTTCATGTATATCATGCACCACGGATCCAAATGGCCACGGACCAGTTCAATGCCGCGTCCTTAAACTTCTGGAGGAGCTTCGAAACAACATTAATGGATCGCCACCGTTTCCCTCCCCCCCTCTCTCTCTCTCTTACTGTGGCTTTTGTATGCACTCTGGCTATCAGTTTTTATTTTTTATTTTTTCAGTCCCCGGGTACAGGGAGCGTGAGACTGATGGCGCCACCGGAGGCCGTCATGAGCTCACTGGATGCGCGAAGTGTTAAGAAAAAAATGTGAGGAATTACTGGCGAACTTTCTTATGCGCCTTCGCCTAGGTCGTTTCAAACCATCGAACGTGGACACCGTTTTTTTCCTCTTCCTCGTGTTTTTTATTATTTTTTATTTTTCTATAAAATATTCTTCAGAATATTTTCCTCTTTTTGCTTCAAATTTTATTCAAAGTGACATGCATGACGCCGCGAGTGACAACGATAATATCCTCGACACACCCACGACTCGCATCGATCGGTGAAGTGGAAATGGAGATGGATATACTGCGGTGGATCTTGCAGTGTGAATCAAGACCAGGGATCATGGGCGACGGGTGACCCTATTGCACTTGGCGCCGGGCCCACGGAATCTGAACCCTCCCCACCCCCTCGGGGCAGATTCCCTCCGGGTCTGGCTAACGTGGCTCCGCGCCTACGTGGTCCTCCAGCCACCGTCTTCCCACCATGGACCATGCCAGCTCAGCTTTGCGTGGCAGGGGGCTCAGCTTCATGCTCATGGATCTTCATGTGGGGAGTTTTGCTTAAGCGCTGACATCACACCGACTTCTTATTCGTTTTCTTTTTCTCCCTTCTTTTGCTTTCATTTCGCTCAGTTTCAGTGTGCAGAGTATTTTACAATCTTTCCCATTTTTATCATGAACTATTTCAAATCTTAAAAATTTGAAATATCTGGGTTGGAAGTTGGTTCCAGAAATTATTGATTTTTAATTTAGTTTGATGAGTTTGTCTGAGCATCAAATTGAGTCAATTTCTATGACTCCTTAAGTAAATTTCTTGGTTTAACCCGTTCAAATTGGCACTGCGTTTGTATATCTTTAAACAGCGTTCAATAGCATAACTGTGTACTTATTAAATGATAATCAGATTGGTATTTGTGTTTCAAAGTCCAAATTGTACTTATAGTTTAAGTCGTGATTTTTTTGTTCCTTGGTTTTGAATAAAATTCTTAGAATCAGATTTTTAAAATTAGCATCTTGAAGTTGTATGTGTTGCATGATAGTAAGGGACAAAGTAATGGTTATGGCCTTAATGATTTATTCCAAGATGTTAGTTTTTGTTGTGTTTTAATTTATTTTAATTTATTTTCAATTTATTATAATGAAAAAATGTCATCAAAACCTTTTTGTAAACTAAATAATACCAAAATGATTATAAGTGATAATTATAATTTTAAAAATTTGGGATATAAACTTAGTTTCTTAATAGTTAAAGAAATATATAGTTATAATCATGTAGTTGTATTTTTCTAACTTTACATTCAAGTTAAGTTTTGAATAAATTAGGTAAATACATCATATTATGTAGTGGGTGATTTCTATTTTATTTCTCTCTCTCTCTATACATATATCTATATATATATATATATATATATTCTTACACAAATCATTAGCAAAGACCACAATCAAATAGAATAATTTAAATTTAAATAGATTTTAAATCAAATTAATATTATAGATTGTTGCTTTTTAATGACATTCTAAGTTTTAAAGTATAGTACTTGTATGCAAATCACATATGTGATTATTATTTAGTATGAAGTAAGATTATTATTTTTTATTTTATTTTATTTGTCTTCTCTTAAAAGGACAAAATATAAATTTATGTGTTATGATTTATACCTGAGGTTTACATTTGCAATTCAAGCTACCTATCTTTAAGTGATAAATTTTCATCCAATCTACCATTATTTATAAATTATTAAACAATGAACACCTAATTTTTGCTTAACATTTTAGTCCATTATATCAAAGAATTTAAATAATTATGTTTGAAATCTCAACTTAAACTTTTGGCATGTAAATAAAATATCAACTTAAAAAAACAACTTAAATTTACTTGGCCCATCTTGTATTTTTTAAATTTTACTTTAGTATCAATTTTAAAATTTTCTTATTTTATTTATTACATTTTTAGTGATAAAGATTAAAATATTTAAATTTTAAATTTTACTCACCATCTAAAATATAAATATTTTGTAAGTTATTTTTTCAATAGTATTTTATATTGCATACTGTATCTAAACTTAAATTTTCATTTTTTTTCTGTGACTGCTAACATTACATTTATTTATTTAGTTAAATACATAAAGTATAATTTCATGTACTTTTGAAATTTAAAATGAAGACGTTAAAACCTATTTACTTTTTAAGCCTATAAAATTTATATTTTTTTGTAATTAGAATAGTCATTGGTTGCTTCAAAAATAATTCTGGAAGCAATGTAAAGCACGTCAAAAACATTACCGAATAAATATTTTTAAAATTGCTAAAACACCTCTTATAAACTTTGTTAAGAATCTTTGTAAACAATCTTGCAGCTAAGGTTTATTTTGAAAAAAAATGAGAAACTCTCACTTGGAATGCAACCATTATCAAGGATTAGTAAGATTAAACATCAATACAATGTATTCACCTAAGTTTTTGTTTTTCAATGAGGATGTGTTTTTAGAAAAAATAAACATTTGGAAGTTACTTTACTTTATTAGTAATATATCATTAATATACTAATTTTTATAAGTTATCACTCAATTAAAAAGCTTTATGTTTATACTCGCTCAATTGTTGTCCAATATTAACATATTATTACGGTGTGGCTTTCTAATATCATTTGATAAAGTTCAAATTTTTCTTTACTTAAAGTTTTGAAAAGATATGACTATTTTTCTATTATCCACTGTTTGTCCTGTAACTTCTTGCTAATGTAAGATACGACATGTATAATTTTATTGCCGTAAGTAATTTGTGTTCAAAATCTACTTTGATATTGCTATACAAATTAAAATTGTCACATGTAGTAGTGTTCTTGTTTTTATGTGTATTTATTCTTAAACAATTGAAAGTCAAACATCAGCTGCCAAGTCTTTTATGATAAAGAAAAAAGATAAAAAAACAAAGTCCACTGTTCTACCCCCTCAATGAAAACAAGAAAAATTTACACTTCAGCGACACATTTACGGGGAATTCAAGAATAAGTAGGGATTAAAAAGCAACGCAAAAAGTCAAAAGCCAACGAATCTTATCAAGCCAAAGGCGGAAAGAGGAAATGGGTCATGGATGTTGTGGGCAAAAGGGAAGATCATAATGATAAATTGAATGATTGGCTTACAATAAATAAATAAATAAACAAGGGAAGGCGCGCCATCCACCGTCGAAACCAAACGAACGAGGAAATAGCCACTTCGTTATCGTTCGTCGTTTGGGACGATGAGCTAATTCTTCGTCGACGAGAAAGCGGTCTCGAAGCATTTGCCGATGCGGCGATGGCAACACCCATTTGTTATCCATGCACAAAAGTAAAGCAACACGGAGACAGAGAAAAAGAGCGAGAGAGCGAGAGAGGATGGCGCCCCCTAAGGTACCCGAGACCAAGGCACGAGACGAGCTTTAATACCAAATTAGGAAAGAGCGGGTCAAGCAGAATTAAAAGGGGGCAGTGGAAAGTTTCGGCGGATATGCCCATGAGGGTCCACCAGATACTGTTATTTCTGATTTATATATAATTTGTGTTTTTGGGGTAGTTCGCCCTTTCGGCTCACGTTTCTTGCGGCCATTACCACGAACTAGTGCTGGGGAGCGCCACATGGTGGCCAATGGGGATCTGGATTTTGCCTAAAACGTAATCATATTCTGTTCCTGACAAAACGTGTGGTAAGTTCGGAAGCGTATGTTGATTTTCCAATTCCGATGGTGACCATCATGGAACGCCACCAAGCTGGAGGTGCCGTGATCCCTGATGCCATCGGTTGGTAAACATGGTTTGACAGGTACGTCAGTTGAACGTTCAATTTATAAATTTTCGACTGTTGGTTTTTTGTTTTGTCGTGGGCGAGGAAATTTGGATGTACGACGTAGAATGGGCTTTAGTGCTTCACCAAGTGTCTCGATTTCGCTCCGAAGTTACTCTCATAGGCACGTTTTTATCGTGACTATTTTCAATCAGTGTTCCTTGCAGACAGGGCTGTCCAGTCCTGCATTAGTCGGTACAGGGAAACCACTGCGAACTGGAGGTCAACACCAGTCGGTGCTTGTATGCTTCGGCGTTGTGTTGGTACATGATGCTAGAGCTGAATAAGGGCAGTAATTTCCGGATTGGGTAAACGGTATCAATCGGACAATTCTCGCAAAGGTTCCGGAAGCGGGTAAAGTGACGTGTCATTCGTGCAGGTGACAATTCAGCTCCCAGAATATCTCAGATTCTATGTTATACCTGCCTAAGTTATGGGAGTAGATTCCATGCTAGATTCTTTGACTGAGGGAGAAGAATTAGCTTCGAAGGACCCCACTGTGATCTCTAGTCCAAGCTATGGACTTATGCGTTCCGTGATCTGTAACGCTCATATTCTACAAAAAGATGTTGTGCAAGTAATTGACACAAGCAACCCATGTCAGGAGTCCCCAGCCAGGAACTTCGACGCTCGAGCGACTCCAAGCTATGGTTATGTGTGGCTGGAAGTCGTGAGACTCCGGCTAGAATCTCAATTATAGGAGCACTTGAAAAATGCAAACTGTGCACAGGTGTTGTTGCTCTACGGTTCCGACACCCGATGCTTTCAGAAAGCAGCGTATTCCGCATCTTGGTGTGTGAAACGCGCGGTCACCCTGCGAAGAACAGTTGTCGCGTGCACGCGCAAACGCGTAATGTGAATGCGCACGGCTGTTAACGAATCATTGGTTAATCAGGAGCACTAGGTCATTTATTTACGTATTTATTTATTAATTTTTCACGTTACTTAGGACCAATATTTATATAATTATAGGCAATTGAAATCCCGAATGTACATCCTCGAACCTGGTGCATGCAATGAAGCGGAATAGCAATTTGAAGTCGATCCAATGGTGCAAATCAATGCAGGGTAACGCAAAGCTTCTCTAGAATTGCAACCAGCGACAAACTGGTCTCTAATCTTATTACGGTGAATAATGGTAGGTGAAGAGGAATTGCAATAGCGTTATGTGAAACTGCCTGATGGGTTGGATGATTGCTTTTTCTCAGGAGGGAAGTCGTCATCGTGACTCGAGAGTGCTACCCCGCCCTCTAAACTATAGTCTTCTCACAATCAGATCCAGCCTGGTTTACAAGGACAGGCAGCAAGGCATGGAACAACCATGTCTTTCGAGTAATGCAGCGCCAAGAAATCAAAGTCAACAACCGGGAGCGTGACCTTCCAGTCGCACAAGCAGAAAGAATTCGGTCAGGGGTGTGAATGTGTGATGGGAAACCGGGCGTAAATTTTTTTGCATTATCACGGCCTGCAAGCTCTCGCAGGGGGGGTTGATGTGTCACGACACAACTGCGCTCTCAGATGCATCGGCAGCTCAAATGATGGGGCGGGTTCTCAAACCTCCCCAAGCTGACTCGGTTATTGTTGGTGAAGAATGCGTCAAGATTGGCTGCACCTGGATGAGGTCCACCGCGCCTGATTTACAGCAAGTAACCCATCCCAGCAAATGGTGCTGCAAACAAGGGGCCAGAGCACCAAAAGGAATCGCGAAACATGCGCAGATCTGGGAGATAGAAAGGTCCTCCCTCATCGGAACTGCCATATACTTGTGTCCGCATTTCGATGCCATGTGGCGGTCAAGCTGTATCCTGTTCCAAGCTTGCCTTCCGGAATCATCGAAGATACTCATTTTCAGTCATGAGCCCTCCACTCCGTTCACTTCTTCCACGAACGAAACCTCCTTGTTCAGTTACTGCAGCCCAGCGTTTACACTGGATCATTATCAGCACTGCATTCAGGTGCTTTGACTTTTCGGTGCCATGATAGAGCACTAGTATGAGGCGTCGGAATGTTCGAGGCTATTGCCATTTATAAGCGCGTGAAGCATAATTTTGTATACTTACTGGGCTCTTCGAGTGCTTGTGTGGCCATGGTTAAGGCACACCATTGTCCGTTTTCACTTCCAACTTTTATTTCCATGCTTTTCCCCCACGCAAATTGAGTTGTCACACCAAGTTTGAAGTGGAGGGGGAGGGCAAAAACATTTTTTTGACACATCAAAGGAATGTTTTCCAGGATGCTCTTGTGGATGAATCCCAGTATGATGGCTGTCGATTGAGAAGTATGTCCATCGGGGACGTCCATCCATGAATATAAACCCTCCAATCCAAAAATTCATCGACATGGGACACCCCAGCGAGACAAAACAGAAGCAGCAGTCCATGGGCGTCGACACAATAGTTTGCGAGGTGCCAACGAGTGAGCTCTCACAGCTGAAAGGAGAGCGAGAGTGAGAGTCTGCAAAAGCTTTGCGCGATGTACTTTGGTGGGGGATGTGGGGCCGTCCCAGCCTGCTACTTTCCGCCACTGCGGTGCATGCGCGATACTTGGGCAGATAAGAAATCCCGAGAGCAGGAAATTTATGTGGAATCGGAGGGCACAAGTGCTTCTGAAGGACCCTGTTGGAAAAACAGAAAAACAAAAAACAAAAAATAGTGGGCACTTGAGAGCCTGCCATTCAACCATCACATGCATGGAGGTATTACCTCACAAATGCTGTCGAGATTATTGTTGATAAGCAAGGCATGTTCCTCATGAGATTGCCATTATTCCTCTTCATCTTCCTCTCGATGTCCCTAGCCACGTCGCATCTTATCGAGGATCGGGACGTTGAAGGATTTGGACCTCAAATGCCATCGAAGATTCAATATATGGATCAATAAATACTTGGATAAGGAGCTTTGATTCAATGGGGGCGTTTTTTCTCCTAAATTATTATTGTTGTTGTTGTTGTTGTTGTTATTATTATTATTATTATTATTAATACTACTCGTTGTTGCTTGTAAAGAGGTTCCGATCGCTCCATGAGATACCAGTCCCCGGTCTTGAACATCGATGTGTTGCAAACTCATGTTGGCGTACCCGTTTGTGTGTGTTAAATAGCTGTACTACAACGACTTGAGTAGTTCTTCGACAAATGGGTGAAATCATTTAGTACCATTCCATGATGGTACATGTTTTATAGAACTCCTTTTCCTCTGGGATTTTAAGAGATATTAACTGAAGAGGGTTCCCGTAGGTCAAAGGGACTGTTGGGTCTGCCGCTCGTTGGAGACTTGTTAGAACGGGCTTCACGCATGAAATTCGGAGGCTTGAGAAGGTTGGTGAAATTTGGTGCGTGCTGCGCAAGTTCGAAATTTACCGTCAACAAGCAACACTATGTGGTAAATCGGGACGACGTGGAGACGGATAGTTCTAGGATCTGCTTGGCAAATGATGTGCCGCAACCGAAGCTGGTTTATCAAAGCAGGGATACGATTACTTCGAGCCAGAACTACCGTGGGAAAGTTTGGTGGTGAAAAATCTGGTGGTGATACATCTGGGAAGAATCAAGCTACGAAGAGGCAGGGAGGGATCTTCAATGGAATCGCCTTGTCATCGTCCACACAAATGAGCTGGCATGTACATTTACTTGTCAACCGTGGAAAGGTAGTATCAAATGGCAGTTGTTATTTTCAGTGGTGATAACAATTACAGCTCAAAACTTTATCAGTAGCTGTGTTGCAGGAAGGGGCAGGAAGGGCCTCATTCTCAATATTTACTAAAAAGAACAAACATGAAACATATCTCAACTTTGTTACCTCACATTGTTTTTGCTATTCTTGATGCATAGTTTTAGATGGAGGGAGAGCGAGTAAGAGAGAGACAGTGAGAGGCCTACAGAACCCGAGGAGAAATAGGGAGGTATGTTTCGTCCTGTTGTGGCTTCCTGGGTAGATCCATTGTTCTTCTCAGATTGAGGAAGATAAGGAGGTGGCGTTTATTCTGTCGTGCTGCCAACAGAAATTGTGGAGCGAATCCAGGACGGAGCTGGGGAGAAAGAACATTCTCGTCAACGACATAGACTGATTCCCCGAATGTAGTACCTCTACCTCGTTCCAACCTCTACATGTATGGGCAGCAGGCTGACTTACCGTCACTGTTACAAACCACCGAACGTCCCACCTGTAGCCCTCTAAATCTGCCCTCCTCCCACTCCACGTCGATTCAATCTCTCTTGCTTTATGCAAAATGGACCCGTGATACCATCACAGACCGCACCGTTATTAACGTTAACACTAAATAATCTGAACATTCATTGAGTTGTCTGGCTCACTGCTGTACAAGTCCTCCGAGAGAACATCTTGCCAATTGCATGAATTCCTGAACCAATTCTCTCACGAACGGAATCAGCTATGGCTTCGAGGGAAAGCTGAATTGAATGCACTTGTTGATTTTAAAGTCCTATCATTACAGGATCTTAGATTGCATGTACCAGGCTTCAGGAGAAGAAGCAAACTACGAGGAGGCGGGGTCCACAGATGCCACTGTCGCCCAGTTTGTGATGAGTCGATGACTACATGAGCTTATCCCGAATTGTCAGAAAGAGATCCTTTGGAGCTCGTCCCTCGAGCCAGCCGGATATAGATTATCGAGGAATATTCTAATCTTATCAAAATTTCAAATGATACCATAATGGAGCATCGTCATGCTTCATTGTGGAAAAAGGCACTTTATGGCCCCCAGTGCCAGCATTTGCACCACATGGATAGGCGTTGGTAAGTTATTGGACGACAGTATCCACTGCAATCCTGGTTGCAATTGCGACTGGTTTGAACACCGAAGTCGGCTGTCAGGAGCTTCCTGCAGCCTAAATAGGTAGACTTAGAGCTTCATTTTCCACCAGACTGGGCCCAGTTGTTCATGGGTTGCGGTCGCACTAAGAACATATTGTTCATGACCTTCTGACAGCCTTGTTATACACTGTCCACGTTCCACTGTCCGGTGCTTTACTACTAAAATCAGTCAACAAATCTCGTACTGCGAGGATCGGTGCTCGATGTTCCGAATCATGACTTCAATGAATGTGTTATTTAACCGTTACAGACCGAGAGGGTGTGCGTCGTGCGTTAGATGCGCAGATGCACAAGCAGAAAACATGGCGTTCATTCAGAAGTGTTTTTTCGTGAAGATAATGCCGCGCGGAAATATTTTTTCAATCAATTACTTCCCTTCAAGAGCATTTCTACTCTCGAGCCTCACAGCGGACATATGCTCTGTCGTTAATAAGTACAATTCTTTGATAAACTTTCCTCCAGATCCGATTTGTATGTGATAGTGTGTTGAATTCCAGAGTGAGTGCTTCAAGGGCCCCATTGTTGTCATAAAATAAGAAGCGCAATGTTGTTCAGTACAATGCCAGCATTCAATGAACACAAGATAATTTGCCAGATCAGCAAGCTCTAAGTTAATGAGTTGTTAATCAAATATCATGTTTCCGTAGGCCGGCTACTTTTTCTAGAGGGAATCTACAGCAAGGGCACACGTAGCCTGAGCCGAATGCCGAACGTTTCGGATGAAAACGCTGGTCTAATTAAAACGGAACGAGCTGAGTGACAGATTTATTCACGGATTCAACAAACTTGCTATTAGGGCGGCATTCATGAACTGTGGAGCGTCAGCAAATGCAAGCAGCATTGCTCAGCTGGCCAGGAAAGATGCCTCTTCCTGGTCACGATGGTGATGGTGATGAAGCTCAACTTCCCAACCTTGAAATCAGATGGCATCTCTTAGTAAGTAGCGGCCTGCAGTGTGATCCTTTCCCATTACGTCGCAATACTATGTCAGTGCTTGCTACCTGGCCCACCTGCGCCGGCTGTGATGTCTCCAGCTGAGCTTGCACCAATTGCGAACAAATCTTCTACACTCAGTAATTGTTCGATGCAACGGAATTCTCCCATCTCATCAGGCGTGGTAAAATTTGTGTGGTTGCACTATATACAATAGGTCTGAGGGTCGCGAAACGATCTGTCCATTGCAAGCGGTTTGTCAAGTTTAAACAACCCAGTCCGATCTCTTCAAATCTCAATGCGTTTGGTGGCTCTTTAACTTGTGCGCTATAGCTCCATGCCAGAGAAAAGTGACTTGACAGTCAATTCATGTTGTTCATAAGTAAGAGTATAAATGTGTGAAGTTGTTAGGTGTTCATTAGCTGCATGTAGTGAGTGAGTTGGGCTGTCGAAGTACCACACCGTGTAACGCTGACTACTCTGATGACGTTGAAGGTGAAGAACCCACTAATCTGTACATGCAGACTAGTCTACAGCACATAAACGCATTATTCTCTTTAGTCTCACCTCCTTAGTCTCACCTCCTTCGTCAGAACATGCACAAAAACCCAAGCACAGAATCGCCAACGCCCTGGAGATTCTCCGCCTTCATGGCGTGGAGACACCAGCGAGGCACGTCACAGAAACTGAGTTCAATGTCCACAAAAACCTTTGTTATATATCAGAATAGTTGAACCATTTTGTGAACTGACTCTCGGCAGCTTCCATGCAGATACTAAAGTTGGCATTTATGTTTGGAATCCAAAGGTGTGCTACCCATGCACTAATTTGAAGAGATGAAGGGATGAAGGTGTCAGGCCTTCCGTCTCCCTTCATGAGAAGTTGCCGGGGATTTGCTCACAGATGTTTGCATTTTTATAATAGCAACGAGAGGCACCTCTTGAAGCGTTTGGTACAATCCTCTGAAGAGAATTATATTAGCCACCCATAGTTTTTAAGGAGCTCTTTGTCTCAGACGGAGCATAGCCAATTAAATACTCCACACGAAGGATTGTCAACGAGAACCTGTCCTCAGATTTGGAAAGGAAAACAAAATAAAATCACATTGTGGGGTATCTGATTATGTGATTGTTGCACCTCATTAGCATTCAAGTCAGCTTTTTGCATTCTGCTGCGAATGAATGACGTAGAGTTGTGCGGGCATGGAACAGTGCTCATCTGGATCATTGATTGCACAATTTCGAAGTCAAAATCTACAGATATCCCTCCGCTTCATTTCCTTTGTAAAATGTGCATGTGCTGGGAAGCTTGTGTGATTCTTTGGTGCCGCAGTCTCTTTGGTGCAACTCAAACACTTTCAGTTTTTCTTTTTCTGACACAAACGGGGTAGAATTCTATGACAATTATATTTTTGATTTTTTATAATAATATAGATGCTAAGCTACCTAATTTTAACTATTGCATAAAATCCAACTCATTTAAAAATGTCAACCAAAAACTTATTTTTAAAAAATAGTTTTATTATTTTTTTTATGGCTTTGAGTAATCTAATTATAGTAGAGATAAAAAAGTTCAACAAAGATAAGAATGAATTGTTTATAATGGATTTTTGCTTATCATATTCAATTCAATAGAATAACTATTATTAATTTTTTTGATCCATAAATAAAAACTAACCTATATTATTAGATTATAATATCAATTTAAATATTTTTTTTGATATCTCTTTAAACTTGTTCTTTATAGTCAAAGTCTATCAATACTTGCTTGCTTGTTGTAGTTTGAAATCTTTTTGTTTTTGCCACTAGATAAAAGTATGACCAAGTTGATTTTTATAAGAAAAAACTAAAATTTATAGAAGTCTTTGATTAAGTTAGAAACAAACTATTTTTTTACCTAAGATTTTAAAAATAAAATCATTGAAAAATTGATTTACTACTTATTATATAATATTGATTAGAATTTTCTTATTTTCTTTTATTTTCTTTTATTTGGTGTGGCCTCTAAAAGTGTAGAATTTATAATCTTAGCTACAAAAAAGACTAAGTATAGAGCCAATGAATAATTTTATTAATTTTTTATTATTCATAAAAAAGTTTATTAATTTTTTATTCATATTTTATTTTTATGTAATGATTAATATATATACCATATTTTAGAATTTACAATATATATTAATCTAATTTTTTTTTAATGTAATTTGGAAAATTTAATTTTTAATAATAAAATGGCTTACTTGAATTTCTTGATTAAATTAGTTTGTAACTTTTATAATTAGAATTTTTTCTAGGATAATTAGAAATAGAAAAAATATTATTCTACTTAAATAGATTATTTAAAAAAAAATAGATTATATCTTCTAATATAGAATTTTATAAGAATCTTACATAAAGTATTAAAAAATATTATAGGATTCTAATTATATGAAGTAGATATTTTATTTTTTAAAAAATAAATTAGTATTACATTTGACAATAGATTTAACAAATTTAATCTTTAAGATAGCCTAAATGATTATAATTAGATAAGTTACACTAAAGTTTTCTTAAATTCTTAAAAGACTTTATTTCTATACTACAAAGATCCATGTATTTATAAAAATAATTATTTTTGACTTTGTCATTTAATTCTCATAGTTAAATTTATATATATATATATATATAATTTAAATTTATTTTAGTGGATTATTTTAGAATATATTTTAAGACTTTTATTATTGCTTTGGAAAGATAAACTTTGGATACAATGTTCAAAAGAGATATTTGTATATAGGCTATAAGCCTTCTTAAATCCTTACTTTTTCTAGTTTTTTTTTTTTTTTTTTTTTTTTTTTTTTTTTTTTTTTAAAATTCATCAATGAAATCAATTAAATAAAAATAAATTATTTTTATATGTAAAATTCTTACATGATTGTATTCCAAATTTTTTATAATTTACATGTTTAGATAGATAAAATAGAAATATTATCTTTTATTCTACAACCTTAAATGTTATCTTATTGAAGAATTTAGTTTTATAATTAAATCTATTCAGATTTTTGTAATTACTAATTATTTTTTCTTATTATCATAAAAAATTATGATTCATTGCATAAAAAGAATTTGATAGTTAAAATCTTGATTCAAATATTATCCAGAAATTAAAAGAATAATATTCGTGATTACTAATCATTCTTGAAGAAAAATTTCAAAATAATCATAAATTTTTGTTATTTATATAGAAATCAATATTTTTTTGTAAATTTTTATTATATATATATAAGTATTTCTAATTTTTATTCTATTCAAATAATTAATATAGTATAATTCAACTTTAAAAATAAAATAATCTACATAGAGCTATAAAGTTCTATTTAGATTTTGGAAATTTATCATAAATATATCAATCTTAGGTTGTACTTTATGGAAATATTTTTTATATGTTTAAAATTATTTAAAAAATAATTAAATATAAAAAATTTATATTTTAATAAATTTAATTTTATTTATTAAAAAATTATAAAACAAAAGCTTGAGGTTGCTTAAATTATTTTTGAAAGATTATTCTTATTTATTTATTTATTTTATTATATATCAAAGATTATCTAATTTTTTATCCTA